CCAAGGGTAGCATGAGCACCAGGTCTTACGTTTTTTCGCTCAAAAATTTACTTCCAACTAATTTTTAATTGAAAATACTTAAAAAATATCATTGACATTTTAATAAACTCATATATAATATTTAATAACCTAAGAATAGATTGAAAACCCAAAATAAAAAAACTTATTGATGTCACGTCTACTTTTTTAGATAATTTAATGGTAAAATAAAATATAAACAAAACTTTTCTTTAAAAAAAAGTGTTAAAATCAACATTAATAGTTTTTATTATTTAAATCAGTGTCAGCCTACTATTTTTCTTTTATTATCTAAAATTAGTGATTTTTTCTCTCTTATCTCAAATAAAGAATTGAAAAAACAATAAAAATAAAGTTTTAGACGGAAATTAACTTTTCTTGAAATTTTAAAATTTAAAGAACCTAATATTACAAAAAACTATCAATTTCATTTATTGTTTTCACTTTAACCCTTTATTTCTTAATCACGTATTTTTTCAAAAAATCAAATCAAATTAACTTTTAATTTTAATTTAGTCTATCAGGACGAAATAAAAAATAATAATTACATTGTAATTGTCCAAGATACACTAATTCCGTGTCTACGGTGATGTGAGTGGTTTGCCCACACCTTTTACATCATAGTTGATGAAAAGGTAATGCAAAAGTGGGACATTTGAACCCAAATTTGCCATTAAAAAGCAAAGTGACCATGGATTCTAAAAAAAACCATTACAAGAGGAATTCAACAAAACTTAACATAAGCCCTTGCATGGAAATGAGTCATAGATGATGATGAAGAATTTTCCTTGGGGGCGGCGGGTCGTACTCTACTGATCCACGTCTTGTCTCTCTAGTGACTATACTTATGCGGAGGTGAAGTAGCTTTCTACTAGAGTGGGGGTGCGTCGACCGGTGGACATCAGACTTCCCAATTTGGTCACACCCCTTGAAAGCCATAAAAAAAAGAAAGAGAGAGACTAGGGGCATGGAAGAATTTAATTATTGATCAAAGAAGACGTCAACAAACAACATGATAAAGCACACGGAAAGGGCAAAAATGTGGGAAAAAAGCCTCCACTTTCGGCATACCCTCGGCAGCACACACGCATCTCCGGGGATGTTGTCTTCTCACCAAACCAATTCCCTCACTACCAAACCACCCTACCTTACCTGTAAATGTTGCATGAGACATGCCATCTTACACCACTTTCCTTCTATCAAATTCGGCTTTGAAATTTAGTGATATTTTATTCGAATACATCAAGACACAGTTTATGTGATGTAAACCTATAATGATTACAAGCGATAGCCAATGACGAATTTCATACATTATATAACACTGGATATAAATGGTGTCAAATCGAAGAAGCAACGAAGCTTTAGGTTTTTTTAAGATGAGCTTTGAAATTAAATTCTCCTTTCTATTTTTTTCATCTCCGAACGACATTGGAATTAAATTATAATGCAGGGCGTTATTTAACACTGGATATAAAATTATAAGTTGGAATTAATATAATTCCAAGAAAAACCCACCACCGAAGGACACAGATGAGCGCATTCTAGAATAGATGCTGCCCAGGAAGCGTGAAGCGCACGCTCGACTAGAAAAGCGTGGTGCGGTAATTAAATTGCGTGAAGAAAGAAATCTTCTTTATTAGTTTATTTCCTTTCTGTTTACCATAAGTAAAAAACTGCAAGAAAGAATCCTTCTTCCGTGGAAAAGAAACTGTGAGGCAGGTTTGAGCTCAGCTTGTTAAAGAGGGATACGGTTGGTTAGCATAAGTTTGTATTTAAACCTTTTTTATTTTTCCTATTAAATAAGGTTGAATTAGTTTGATTAATTCTTAATTAAAAATGTATATTAAGTTATTAACCACCAGAGAAAAAAAAAAAATATAAGAACGAGATCTGCAGGTTTAATTAATTACATATGGGTGCTGGCCAATGAACTGAGAAATCTTGAACTTGAAATGCAATAAAAAAAAATTCAGTACCCTTTAACACAAACCAGCCAATAGGAGAGGACAGCTGATATCATATTACAATAATGAACATCAAAAATCCGAATCCAAAAAACAAGTACCTGTGGAGAGAGAAAGGATCATGAAATGCTTCAAAACAAGAGAGAGAAAGAAAGTGAGGGTGCGCTGCTCATTTCTTTTAAGTTCTTGAGGAAGGATAAAGAGAAAAAATAGAGACACATGGAGTACCATTTTTATTAAAGAAAGTGAAGAGAGAGGATAATAATAATAAATAAAAATAAGAAAAAGAAAAGAAAGCAGGAAAGATGGTGGTAGCGTTACCAGGAGGAGTCATGGTATTAGAAGAAGAAGAAGAAGAAGAAGAAGTGCAGAAGAAGAGAAGAGAATAAGTAGTAATCGAGATGCGTGCAAAAAATAAGAAGAAGTAGTAATCGAGATGCGTGCAAAAAATATTATTATCAATAATAATAATAATACCAACCATAACCCGGACAATTTGTCCTCCTCCTTTTGATCCTCATTTTGCCCGGCATTTAACTTCTCTCTCCTTTTGTCTTTGTTTTCTTGGGATTTGATTCTTTCTTTCATATGCTCGAATCGATCTGCGGATGCATTCTTGATGAATCCGGCAACGGTTAGTGAGATGTTTCTTTTCTTTTATTTCTTAAGCTTCTTTCTCGTGCCTCCTTTGGCGGCTGCTGCTGCTGCTGCTGCTGCTGTTCTTGTTTAGAATATCTTTTTCTCGTTGTTGTTATTGTTGGTGTTATAATGGTGTTAACTTTAATTGTGGTGTAAATACTAGTTAACAGTTGTCAGATTTGCTAGTGACCATTGCTGTTGCTGTTGTAAGGATTCGTAAGCCCTCCCTGGATATATTTTGTGATTCTTGGAGGATTTTCTTAATTTGTTTCCTCTTCATCTTGATTTCTTCTTAATTACATCTTCAATATCAAGATACCATACAAATTAACCGCACCCACCTTTCTTTTCTTTTCTTTTTCCTTCTCGTGGATTTCAACACTAGTCAACCGAGTTCATTTCTTGATTTTCTTTCCAAATCCCCTCCAAATTCTGCTAAAGTCAAAGAAGAGGGGCTTTTTTAAACAGTGGGGGTCGTGATTTGATTTGGGCTGGTTTTTATTTCTATGGGAATACCTGATACTTCTCTATTGGATCTACTAGACAAGGTTAGGTCTTGGATTTCTTGGGGAGCAAGTGATCTTTCAGCATCTTGTTTGTCTGCTAATTTTCAGATGCCTAATAACGGAACTGTCGAGATGTGTCGTGAGTGTCATTCAAACAACAACCAGTTTTTTAATGGATACCATTGCCAAAGTTGTGGCAAGTGGTTGTGTTTCAATTGTATGAGAGGTTACCAATCAAATGGTGATTTTGGGGAGGCTATCAAATCTTGCAAGTTCTGTAATGGGGTTACTGTGAAACGTGATGGTGGAAGGAAGAATAGTGATAAAGTACACCCTAGTGACTCTCCTAGAGGTAGCCCTGAGCCACCATCACCTTCTTTTAGTGCCCAGCCAGTCCAGAGTGATCTTCTTCCCCTTTATCTTGAATCCAGGGATTGTGGGTTTTCTCCTAATGCAATAACCAGGAGCATGACTTCTTTAAGTGCTCGCCCGTCTCCTGTTTCTGTTCGTCGCTCATCAAGCAGGTAATAATTCTCAAAACTCCTAGTGTTCCATTAAAATTTTCATGTTTTCCTTCTATTCTGTGTATCATTTCAATTTTCCCGTGTCTGTCCCCCCTCCCGGTAGAGAATGGGTCTTTCATGTGTATTCACTAATGCAGGAGTGATGAAGAAGCAGCAGAGGATTCTGGGAAACTCCTTTACAGCCCATCGAGTGAGTACTGTCATGATATTTCAGATATAGATTCAAGTAGTGTTAGTGCTAGGCTTGAGTTTTACAATTGTAAGTCGGTGGGATCAAGTCCTTTAGACAGCCCTTCTCGGATTGATTTTAGTTCTTGTAGAGTTGGGCATACTGTACAGCAGCGGCGAGAAGGAAGCCCATTGTCTCAAAGTGATGGTCCCTTTGATCAAGAAAATATGGCTATTTTAAGCAGGCCTGACAAAAGGACTGAGGATCCAGAGAATACTGATGATTGCTCTGATGACGCGTCAGTTTTGAGGGATCAATATCACAAGTCTCCAAAGCCATTGGATTTTGAAAGCAATGGCCTTATCTGGTTTCCCCCACCTCCTGAGGATGAAAATGATGAGGAAGAGAGTAATTTCTTCACAGATGATGATGAAGATGATGATATTGGGGACTCTTCTGCAATTTTCTCATCGAGTAGTAGCCTTTCTAGCACATTTCTATCAAAGGAGAAACAGAATAAGATTAACAAGGACCCTACTAAAGCTATGATACAGGGGCATTTTAGGGCTCTTGTGGCTCAGCTTTTACAGGGAGAGGGTATCAACGCCAGCAAGGATGAAAACAATGGAGAATGGCTTGACATAGTCACAGCAATTGCATGGCAAGCTGCAGCTTTTGTGAAACCAGATACCAGCAGAGGAGGCAGTATGGATCCTGTTGATTATGTAAAGGTTAAATGTATAGCATCAGGAAATCCAAGAGATAGGTATGACTTTTACATGTTCTGCTGATGCATTATGTCAAAGGCGCCCTGTACTTTTCATTCAAACTTTGGTATGCCATTTTTTTAAGCTGGGGATACCTTTTGTGCTGCAGCGCCCTTGTAAAGGGAGTCGTTTGTACAAAAAATATAAAGCACAAGCGCATGACCACACAATACAAAAATCCCAGATTGCTTCTTTTAGGAGGAGCGGTCGAATATCAGAGCGTTGTGAATCAGTTGGCTTCTTTTAATACATTAGTGCAACAGGTACATTAGTAATTTGTAAATTTGTTTAGTTTCAAGTATATCAAGATTTATGGGTTGAGTATTTGTATTCTTGTCTTTGACACAGGAAAATGATCACCTCAAGCTGATCATGTCGAAGATAGAGGCTCTTCGCCCAAACGTTCTGCTGGTTGAGAAAAGTGTATCTCCGTATGCCCAAGAATATCTACTGGGAAAGGAAATTTCCTTGGTGCTGAATGTAAAAAAGCCTTTACTGGAACGTATAGCTCGGTGTACAGGTGCTCAGATTAGTCCATCGTTTGAGAATATTTCTACAACACGACTGGGTCATTGTGAACTATTCAGGGTAGAGAGAGTGAGTGAAGAACATGAGACAAGCAATCAGTTCAACAAAAAGCCATCTAAAACATTGATGTTTTTTGAAGGGTGTCCAAGGCGTTTAGGTTGCACGGTATGTAATCAACTCTAAATTATTATTAGTTTTCATTGAATTTGGATTCAGCTAGGTGAGGTTCTAAAATATATAGAGATGCACCTTGTCCAGTTATTTCCTCATTGCTGGTCTGTGTTGTGAATTTACCCCCTTTCAACACTGGAAATGGAGGTTTCTTTGACTTGTGTTTACTTCAGTCCAGACATGTGTAATAATGCATCCGGTTGCGTAAAGTCAATAGTGTCCGTGATCTTTTAAACATTCTGCAAAATGCAGTTTTCTGATTGTTTTTTCCTCCAAATAATTTACATCTTATAGAGTGGAATGCTTAAACAAGAATTGTTAGGGAGAGAATGTCACCTCGTTTTGGTTTAAGATTTCTTTATATACATTTGTGGAAGAATCTCATATTTATTCAACTAAAGCAAGTGCATGTGCTTCCCATATAGGAAATTGTCTCTTTTAATTCCTTTCCAGTTAGGTCTGGTCCATTTTACCAGGGTTAATGGACCACGATAATGAGAGAAAAAAAGATGTCTACTACATAATGAGGCCATCCTATGCTGCAGTGCTCAAAGCATGAAGGCTGCCCTTCCCGGGTATTTTACTAGCGACTTTGTGTAGACTATTGATGTATTAAATAAGTGAGAAAAGGAAGTATGCTGGCTTGTTATGTTGGTGATTCGGTTCATTTTGAACACTTTGATTTTGCTTCATTTTCACATGAAAGTTGCGTCATACTTTTGAAGCAATACAATTAAGTTTGGAGCTTCATATTTAAAATACATCTTCAAACACCCAATGGTTATTTTCTATCACCAAAATTATCTTGTAATTGCTCTGTGATCCTACATGGTCTTCTTAAGATTTGCAAAGAGAAAAGTTTCAGAGTTTGATTTTGGTTTCTGATAAGGTTGTTCCTGTCCATATCTTAGGTCCTTCTGAGGGGCACATGTCGTGAAAAGCTAAAGAAGGTCAAGCATGTTATTCAATATGCAGTTTTTGCAGCATATCACTTGTCCCTCGAGACTTCTTTCCTTGCCGATGAGGGTGCAAGTCTTCCTAAGATGACAATTAGACCCTCAATTACTATTCCTGAGAAAACAGCAGCAGATAATTCCATTTCAGTTATCCCTCCAATGATTTGCCATGCCGAAGTTGCTTTGTCTACTCAGGATGATGGATCACTGGGTCTTAAACCAGAGCATGAAGGATCAGAATCATTGACGGGGAACCTTGATGCTGGTGTCATTCATCCTTTATCTCCATGTTCCGTCCCTTGTAGGTCTGGAAATGAATTCTCTATTGCATGCCATGGTGATTTAGTGTCTAATGCGGGGGGATTGGATGCATTTTCTGCAAGTCGATGTGAGGGTCTAAAGATGTTTGCTGTTTCCCCTGGTATCAAAAATCTTTCACAGCCAGAACTACAAGATATCATGGCTGAAGAAGAGGGACAACTTTTGGCAACTCATGAACCAGTAAAATCTGAGAAGATTGAGGAAGATGAGGTTTCCAGTGAATATTTCTCAGTCTCTGAAACGTACCAGAGCATATTAGTATCATTTTCAAGTCGCTGTGTGCTGAAAGGAACTGTATGTGAACGCTCTCGGCTTCTGCGCATAAAATTCTATGGAAATTTTGATAAGCCACTTGGAAGATATCTTCGTGATGATCTGTTTGATCAGGTGACTCATTATCGGTTTCATTTATCTTTCTCATGACTTCTGTTACCCATCTGAAACCTAGATATTAATGGGTTTGTTGTCTCCAGAAATCATGCTGCAGGTCATGTAAGGAGCCAGCCGAAGCACATGTTCTGTGTTTCACTCATCAGCAGGGTAATCTTACAATCAATGTTAGATCCCTTTCCTCTGTAAAACTACCTGGAGCACGTGATGGTAAGATATGGATGTGGCACCGATGCCTAAGATGTGCTCATATAGATGGAGTCCCACCAGCAACTCGTAGACTTGTCATGTCGGATGCTGCCTGGGGACTTTCTTTTGGGAAGTTTTTGGAACTGAGCTTTTCAAACCATGCAACTGCCAATCGTGTTGCACCCTGTGGTCATTCATTGCAGAGGGACTGTCTTAGATTCTATGGGTAAATTTTGTAGTTATGGAATTATTATTTATCATTATTGGCTTTTTCTGTGTTGTCGGTATTCATGGAAAATCCTCTCAGGTTTGGGAGCATGGTTGTGTTCTTCCAGTATTCCCCTATTGATATTCTCAATGTCTCCTTACCGCCATCAGTGCTTGAATTCAACGGCATTGTTCAGCAAGAGTGGACAAGGAAAGAGGCAGTAGAGGTGCTTTTTAAGAATGCAGGCTTGCATACTGCATATTGTTAAATTAGACTGATTTAATGTAGAACTAATATTTTGAACCTTTTTTCTTCCCAAACAGCTCTTGGGGAAAATGGAAACCTTCTATGGTGAGATATTTGGTGTGCTTGACAGCATGGAACAGAGAAGTAAATATTTTGGAAGTGAATTGGCAGATACCAATGAGTTACAGAATCGCATCATGGAGCTGAAAGATCAACTCGTAAAGGAAAAAAACAATTACAGTGTAAGTACATGCTGATTCTTAAAACTTTCCCTTGGAAAATTAGTGTTAGCTCTTTTGATCTATGGAGTGTTATTACCTGAGGCGTATTGTCTAATGCTGTTATCAACCTGTTTATCCTTGTGCATAATGTTTACCATTTCCATTTGATGAATCTTTTAATCAGTCCCCTTGCAAACAGGGCATGCTACAACTGGCAGTTATGGAGAGTTTACAGTTGGATCAAACAGCCATGGACATTCTAGAACTCAATCGCTTAAGACGTACTCTTCTAATTGGTTCTCATGTTTGGAATCGGAAGCTTTATTCACTGGACTGTCTCATTAAGACAAACTATCTTGTCAAGGCTAAAGAAGGGGATGTGTCTTATACTGAGCTGAAAGATTTGAAGAACGATATATTTTGCGAGGATAGCAAGCTTGACCGTGATCATGAAGAAAATATCTCTGGCTATTCAAAATCACAGGAACATGTTGGGAATGATTTTCAGTCAGAGAAGAAAGAAGCAGGTCTGTCCTTCGAACATCGTGTTCTTGAACATTCGATGTTGCCATCATGTTATCATAACACAGAGGATGAAGTGCATGCAGATGAGGAAACTGCGAGTAAGACATTATTTAGTGACATCCCTTCCCATGCTTCCAATCTGTCTGACAGAATTGATTCTGCATGGACGGGTACTGATCAACTTCCAATTAAAGTTCAACCTCTGCATGCATCTCAGGCAGAGGCAGATGGATTCCAACCTGTGTCTGTCAGGCAGCCAAATTTGTTTGATAATGCTCCTTTTCGAAGGATGGTGGCACCAGAGAGAGTTCATTCTTTTGATTCTGCATTGAGAGCCCAAGAAAGAACCCAGAAGGGGTTGCCTCCATTGCATTTGTTGACTGCCAGATCATTCCATGCATCTGGAGATTACAGGAGTATGGTGAGAGATCCTGTTTCAAATGCAATGAGGACTTATTCCCAGATATTGCCACTGGAGGCACATAAGTTGAATTCAATGCACAGTTCCACGCACTCGTTTATCTCCTCTGCAGCTAATATGGCTGGAGGAGCTCGGTTATTGTTACCAGTGAGGGCCAACAGAGACTTAGTTATAGGCGTTTATGACAATGATCCTGCAAGTGTAGTTTCCTATGCCCTCAGTTCTAAGGAATATGAGGATTGGGTTACTGATAGATCAAATGAGAGTGGAGGGATCTGGAGTACAATTAAGCACAGTAAAGAAGATTCTGCAGCTTCCTCTTTTACAGCCTGGCAGTCTTTAGATTCCATGGACCTAGATTATATGAGCTATGGAAGTTATGGGTCTGGAGATCCTTTTTCAACCTTGGGCACCTTGTTTATGGATTCAAAAAAATCTCCACACTTGACAATTTCATATGAAGATGCTTCTTCAATTGCTGAAGGCAAAGTGAGGTTTTCTGTTACTTGTTATTTTGCAAAGCAGTTTGACTTTCTTAGGAAGAAATGCTGCCCTAGTGATGTTGATTTTGTTCGTTCACTGAGTCGCTGTCAGAAGTGGAGTGCGCAAGGAGGAAAAAGCAATGTATACTTTGCTAAGTCATTAGGTGAGAGATTCATCATAAAAGAAGTAAAAAAGACTGAGTTGGAGTCCTTCGAGAAATTTGCCCCAGAATATTTCGAGTATCTGATTGATTCTCTCAACTCAGGGAGCCCCACTTGCTTGGCTAAAATTCTTGGTATTTATCAGGTTAGACTTTGTCCTTTTCTTTTATGAGAATGTACAACTTACATGGGTGGGTGATGCTGGGTGTAGGTGTGAAATTCATATGATCTCATGTGAGTCTTATCTAACGAGTTTGGTGGCAGGTTACTGTAAAGCATTTGAGAGGTGTCAAGGAAAAAAAAATGGATTTGATGGTGATGGAAAACCTCTTTTTTAACAGAAATATTGTGAGAGTCTACGACCTTAAGGGCTCTTCTCGATCCCGCTACAATCCTGACACATCTGGGTCTAACAAGGTGTTACTAGATACGAATCTAGTGGAAAGACTGCGTACAGAGCCCATATTTCTTGGAAGTAAGGCGAAGAGAAGCCTTGAGAGAGCTATATGGAATGATACGTCATTTTTAGCAGTAAGCTTTTTGTTTAACATCTCACCACTGTAAACATGAAAAGGTTTGGAGTTTTGGCACTGAGTCTTTTATACTCTCTTTTTTGGTTTTGTTTTTCTTTTTTTAGTAATTGCAATAAACATCAAACATCCCGTTTCTGAAATTTAAATTCAAAAGCAGTAGCAGCCAGAACCCAGAAAGACCTGAAACTTAGGTTTTCATAAACAGTCGCCTTCCCCTCCCTGTTCAGTACATTCTTTTGATAATTACATGAGTGATCAAGGTCTTCAGTTAATATGTTAATAAACCGAACACTATTATGGTTGTCTTTGAATGATATGTAATCTTAAGCACTTCCAATCTTATCTTTTCTACTTAGAAATCTCCCATAAAATGCTCCCATCATATTAATTCTTCAATGCGGACCTCTGTATACTGTGAGAAACTAGCAGGTAGATTTCCAGGTTTTAATTGTCAAGACTGAAAGAAGGCTTGATATGCTTGAAACGAAAATGGTATTTGTTGTTTAATCAAAAATGAAGTCATGGCATCACTGGAAACCTAAATAATTTTTCCAGTTTTGGTATTGTTTAGATATCTTCTTTCTTTTCCTTTTCTTTTGTTTCGAGGACCTTGCTAAGCCATGGATCAATGAATTGCATTTTTCTTTTCTATGAGATCACTGTTATAATTGTTTTTCACGTCTCTCTATGCTTGTACAGTCTGTTGATGTTATGGACTACTCTTTGCTCGTTGGAGTGGATGGTGAGCGGAAGGAGCTGGTTTTGGGGATCATTGATTTCATGAGACAGTATACATGGGACAAGCATTTAGAGACGTGGGTTAAGGCATCTGGAATACTTGGCGGCCCGAAAAATGCTTCCCCAACAATTGTTTCTCCAGAACAATACAAGAAAAGATTCCGAAAAGCCATGACTTCATACTTTCTCACTGTACCTGATCAATGGTCTTCATGGACTGAATCACTGCATTCTTGTCATTCATAATCATTTGTTCATGAATAAGGAAGTCAGAGAGATTAGTGGGGAAGGGAGGGACGCCATCCAATCCCAGTAAATTTCTCTCTCTTCCCTTCTTGTTTTTTTTCTTCATTTGGGTGGAATCTTTCGTGTATGGGCAAAGTGGGGCCCAAACAAGAAACTTATATACGAGGGAATAAAAATTCCTTGTCGAGAGGTCTTTGTACATTTCTTTTTTTATACACGTGCAATTGCGACCTCGGAATAAGAAACCAAATTATGCTTTGCACTGTGATCTTTTTCCTTCGTTGGCAAGAATAGCTGGTAAACTTGGATTCGAAGTTCTTAGCATATGAAAGAGCAGATTATAACCCCGTGCATTCAATAAATTTGAATTTATTATTTCATCAGTACATTCAATATTTGTATTATTTCATGTTTACCATTGAATAAAGAGATGAGCTCGAAAATAATATATAAAATAAATTGTAGAAAATCAGAAAAAAATGGATTTATATAAATATACTCTTAAAAAAAGTCCTTTAAATAGGTCCGAATATTTTTTTCTTTCTGCACGTTTTTATCAAATCAAATTTTTTAATAAATAAATTGTGTTTATATATATATATATATATTCTTCTTTATGCACGTTTTTATCGAATCAAATTTTTTAATAAATAAATTATGTTTATATATATATATATTAACACCAGAAAAAAAAATTCTTTCTCATGCTAAATACCTTATTTATTCATTTTGACTTTTGCATTTTCAATACATAAATATCAAGAAATCATCTCAAATTAAAATCTAAACTATTTAGTAAATCTCAATGAATGGTGTTTTTTTAATATTACTCTTTAAAATAATACTTTCTCAAATGAATGATTTTTATATTACTCCTTAATATATCCATAAAAGCTTTTTAAACTTGAAATTTAAACACATCAATCAATATCTTATCAATCAATATCATGTATTAAATTTTATTGATTTAATTTGTAAGAATATAGAAAATAAAATCTAAATTATTAATTATTTAATTATTAAAGTTTTATTACCATGTCAAAGAAACATCAATTGTTAGATAAAGTTGACAAGTAAATTTATATTACTTTTACTGTTGAACTGTGATTGTTATTGCTAATAAAAGAGATCACTCCCAAAAAATACAACATATATTTTGTGATTAGAAGACAAACATAACTCTAGCTATATATCCTAGAGTGATTGTGGAATGTTTCTCAAAATAATTAATTTACGGCCAAAGACAGCTCTCTGATCAGCACTCTAAGCTCTTTCATAATGCTCAAAACCTCAAAGCTCCTTGGGTTTTATGCACAAGAACAAGACATAAAACCGAATATATATATTTGCGGTAAATGGGAATCAGCAGGCTGACGTAGAGGGAATGCGAGCAGCTAGGTTATCTCTTGATCGATCGCTTTGCTAATTTATTTAATAAGACTGCTTTTTCTTGATTGCATATTTGGATCATTTGCTAATAAGAAGCCACAGCTATCTGCATCTCTCCTTCGCTGAAAGGAAGGAAACTCACTCGCTTCTGCAAAACAAAACGAACAAAATTGTTTATTCATAAAATATATAGTCCAGACATTACTAGATTTGGGTATTTCAAGCTGAAGTTCGATAATAAATAACAAGAACAGAAATCTTAACTCAAACATTCAATGGTCATGTATAAAAATCAAAAGAAAACATAATAGCTAGGGATGTAAATTAAAATGCTCGGTAATTCAGGGTTTCTTTGTACATTCGAGCCTTAATTAATTAATGGTTCATATACGTACGTTGGCAATTTCTGTTTTGATGGCGTGCTCAACTAAATACTTAGTTATAATCACCAAGCAGCTCGTATAAGATAAATAAGTAAAATAATATATAAATTAAGAATGTATCAGACATTATAACATTTAAACTTTTAGATGAACTCAAATTTAATTATAAAATTCAACAATGGACGACTCGGAGCTTTTCTTTTTGGAATGAATAAAATAAAGAAAGATTTACATCAGAAAAGAAAATTACAAGTTGCATTTTGGTGTATGTGTAATAGTAAATTATCTAGGATAAGTGCATGCATGACGCCATCGACAACGTACAGGCTAGCTATTGGAATTTAAATTAATTGTCAGTCCATAATATTATTTTATTAGTGGCCTGTCGTCTTTTTACTGGGTCTAGGTTTAAACTCTCTAAAAATACTACTTAATTACAAAATAAAATTAAATCCACCTCCATTTGATACGAAAGTCAAATTTTGGTTGAAAATAATTTAATGAAACCGTGTCCCCCAACCTTAAGTCACAAAATTTCAATTAAAACCTCAATTAAAAAGAAAATGTTAACTAGAACCTTCATTAAGTACTTTTATTATTATTATTATTATTATTCTTGTTATTATTATTATTATTATTATACTAGTTCCCTAGCTCGAAAGAGTTCACATTTGCAAATAATCAAACCACATGACGTGAACCAAAAAAATTTCAAATCCCAAAAAATATTTTATAATCGAGACCTCAAATTCATTATATATATATAAAAGAAAATTAAAGGCAAAAACCTGTGAACATGCCACAAAATCAGGATTGATGTCGAAATGAACATACCTCACGTGCCTTAATGATCCCTTGGTTGCCGACTCTCCCGTGGCCGCTCTTCCAATGAACTTGTTGCGACAACCCACTCTCTTGACCATTTTGTGCAATTTCACGAGAGCTATTATTGCTGCCACCTGCGGTGTTTGCTATGCAGAGATCCAGAATCTTAGCAGCCGCCTCAGCCTCATCCTTACTTTCTTGCATCAACTTCTCCACTTCTTCCTTTGGTAATCTCATTTTCACCCTCATTGCACCACGTTTTGCCTCCTCGGAGACAATGCTAGAAGGTTTCATTATCGAAAGATCAGATGTTGATCTCCTAGAGAGCATTAGGCTCTCGAGCCTGTCTTTAGCACTCATGTTAATCCCTGAACGAACCCTTCTTGGAACCCTCTCAGTTGGAGTCTCTGGCAACTCTACTAGGAAGTAGAGCCTTTTTGGCACCAAATCTTGGTGTGCTTCCAATGGCTTTGCCCTAGTACCATAATGCTTAACTGCCTCAGATTCTAGCAAAACATGCCCTGGATAGTCCTTAACTACATCCCCAGCCTTCACTGGTGTCTTGAACTTGAATGTTTCACCATTTATCTTCATGACTTTTGCAGTCTTTTTCCCACCTAAAGTGTTGCCCATACTTGGTATTTTGGATTAATTTCACTCTTTTGAACACACAATTAACAAAATGATCGAACCCTTAATTAATCAAGGTGAACAACGCTCCTTTGTGAATACTTCATACTACTAGGGATCGGATCATATATAAAGCTGACAAAGAGGCGCCTGTGTGGTGGGTGGAAGATAAGGACGCCTCGATTTTGGTTAGTTGTTAATATTACAGTCAACGAAGAAGGCAAGATTTGAAATTGAAAGAGGCAAAAGTTTGACAAATGAAGAAAGTACGTATGTGGTTTGGTTTTCAATATTCCAAGTAAAACTGAAGGGTTATTTTTGTTTTCAGTTTAGTTTAATTATCTTAATTGTGAGGGTTTTTTCGTAGACTAGCACAACGCTTAAAACATAATTCCCAAACTAGCACAGTTCAGGCACTACATGCGTAATTAAATATGTTGCGTGGTTGCTGCCTGGGTAACTCATAAATTTAATTTCTCTCCTTGCATCTACATGATTTCCCAAGAGTTTTTATATATAAAATTCAATATGCATGTTTTTTAAAGTTCTAATAACCATATGAAAAACAAAAACAATCTAATAGCTAAAAAAACAAGATGACATGATATAAAAAACTAGAAATGATAATTCGGTATCATTAAAATATCTTAAAAATATAAATTTATAAAGAATATAAAAAGTTAACCTCAACAAAACAACATGCTTATTTATTGACATTTCATCATCAATTTCAAAGTTGATTTTTCATATTATTTATAATTTTTTTATTAAAATCTTTTTCATGATATATTATTAGAGTTTGATAGATTTATGATATTTTTTATTTAAATTCTTGTTTTTTGTGCCATATTATCTTTCTCGATCTATCAAATTATTATTTTTTTATTTTATAAACTTTTTATTTTGACTAAAAAAATTTTATTTTATAAACTTTTTATTTTGACTTTTGTATATTTACACTCTTTTGAAAGCATGTAGTAGCAAGGAGAAAAATTATATTTGTTCTAATGTGAAGAAATTCAACGGCTAGCCACATGTCTTGGAAAATGTACGACTAGCTAGCTAGTAACCTCCAAAAAACCCGTGGGTGGGGAAAATTAACGTTTCGATCTTGAAAACGAATATTAACTAACGTTAATCACGGCGATGTTTCACTTCATTGACTTGGGAATCGTTTTATTGGCAATATTAATAATTTATTTGATATCGTGATAATGATTATTTTTAATATATTTAAATAATATTTTTTATTTTTAAAATTTATTTTGTTATTAGAAAATTAAAACAATAAAAAATATAAAAAGAATAACTCTAAACAATGCCATGGTGGATTTTTTTTTATATACCTTTTGGATTGGATGAAAATTAAGTAATTTATTGGTCGACATAACTTTTCTTTGCCTTTCTTCGGTCTCCCTGGCTAGTCTAAAGAAAATAAAATGCATAAAAGTCCGCTTTAGAGAACTATAAATTAACACGTTTAATTGCTAGTTAAGATAACTACATACTGTGTTCCTACTTTAGAGAAGCAAACAACTTGAGTGTGAAATCACGGCCTTGGTCTAGATTGATACAACGCTGATCAACTTGGACGGGGTTGTTTCTTTCAAGGTTATCTTCAACAAGGAGCGAACCATCTCTGGCTTTCTTCATTCTGAATATAAGATCCCTCTGGCTTCTATTCCTCTTCTTCTTCTTCTTCTTCTTAGGCAGTATAAATGATTGAAGTTTTCAAAGAGACTATTTCAGCCCCAAGTTTCAGGGAAATAACCTTTAGCACTCCATGATATAATATCGTTAGAATTTCTATGAAAAAACAAAAATGTCACTAGTTAACACGTATATATAATGGTGATTTTGTAATAAATATAACGTTTTTTAATGGAGTGTAATGGCAATGCGCTGTGCTAAACAGTTATAAACTACATGATCTTTAAGTGAAAGTAACACAAAAAATATATAGAGCACATTGTAATTTTTTTTATTTTAAAAAAAGTAGGGTATGAAAATATTAAAAACACTGTGCCATAGGATACCTAAAGTAATTTTCCCTATCTTTTTTTACCTGTCAGGATCATAGGCTCGGTCTTTAGGTTATATACAATGATACTACGATATGGCTAGCCCTATCCTGTCACAGAGTCCCACCCCTCTTGGAATTTAACCTAAAATCTCTTCATAAAAATTCACAAGCATTAACTTACGGACTGTGCCCTCGAACGATTTTTTTCGTTTTATTGGACTGGATCAGTTGTGTTAGGCACTCGTGCAATTTGAGACAATATTCACTATAATCATACCTATTAAAGACGCATCACCACTAACATTTTAACCCAAAAGAAGGGATATTTGTAGTTTTTAACGAACGATTAAGAAAATTAGAATTATTCAACCAGGAAAGAAGGAAAAAAAGAACACCTTGGAGTTGCTTGGGTGTAAACAAGCTGAAAATCGTGCGAAAATGACAAAATGGTTGTTGAAGAGATCACTTGGAAAATGAAGACAATACTCATTGAGCTAATAATATATATGCATCCGCATCCTGCTCAGAAAAAAAGAAAAGGAAAGGACATGAACAATTATACTAGCATCATATCTATATATCTCACGCAGCAACCACTGCATAATCGTGGTCCTATATATTGTCTTTGGTCAACAACTGATCAAATTGAACCCAGAACCATACTCCATCGATCTTGCTAGTTTACCAGGTCTTCATGGTCATATCTGACATGTTTCTGTGCCCTCCATCACAAACAGTTTTTCCCACGTTTTATTTTACCCTCTCTTGCTTTTCTCCTACTTTGCCATATAATTTCCGTGTCTTTGTTCAATAGTCGCCCCATGATCGTGCTCGATCTGTTTTTCTCGACCTCGTTTATTAATAATCAAGGCAAAAGGAGAAAAGTCTACTATGAGCGACGGCTCCATGCTACTAGTGTTGTTAAAATCAAACATATGGACCCCGGTGTATATAAATATTAACAAAAGGCTAGCTGGTAAGGGATTTTTCAATGTAGCATAGCATTATTCCCTGCTAATTAGAGAGAGATTTTTACTGTAGTGTGTGAATAAAAACATTGTTATTTGAAATAGTATTTTCATGGTTTTGATCCTCACATTACAAAATTTAACACCGGTTATTGAGGCATTTAAAGTTTTTTTTAATGATACTTATTAGCTATTATCAAATTAATAAAAAAAAACAAAACAACTCAAATATTATTTCAAGAAAAAAAAATTGGTATCAAAAGATAGTTTTTTATTATCACAATAATTTTTTAGTTATTATCATATCAGCTAGGGTTAATTTAATATTTAACTAAATATAAAAAACACGATAAAATGATCAAAATATCTCTAATAAGCTAAAAAATCAAAACAAACCTCAAGGGATTTTTTTTTCTATTTTTTTACAATGGTATTTTTGTTATTATTAATTCTCACCTTATAAGCAATTTAGTAATTGATCAAAAATAAAAAAATGCTAAAAACAAATAGGGTGCATTTGGCACGCTTTTTTGTCCTGTGAGAGGTGGTTATGCTTTTCGAGCAATATGTGCAATGTTTTTTGGTGTTCAAAAATATTGTCCCGCCGTGTCGTGCTACCTCATATTTTTCTTGGAGGTGCAGTGTATGTTGGTAATATTTGTTAAGTTTGTTGCTATTAGATTTTTTTCCTCTCTTCTTTTTCTTTACTCCCCAGAAAATTACAGCTCGATCCTTGTTGTTATTGGTATATCAACTTCAGTCCTTTTTTATTTCATCATTTGATCCTAATTTGCTATATTTTTTTCTTTAATTTGGACCTTAATTTATTTTTTTAGACTTTTTTGTTGAATTAATTTTCTTTTTAATTTCACCTTTCAATCGAAAACTAGTGTTTATTTTTTATTTCAATTTCAATTTTTATTTTTTTATTGTTTTTTAATTTTTTTTTCAATTAATTTTTTTTTTGAATTTCACTCTTCAATAAAAAATAAATTTGCTTTTATATTTCAAATTTAATCTTCATTCTTTTAATTGTTATTTTGGATCATTTTGTTTAATTGATATTCATTTTCCAAGATAATCCTTCAATATTTAATTATTTAAAAATTATGTTTCGTGACTTCTTCAAATATGGTGCTTTTGATCTAACGCACTGAATCATGAGTTTAAAAGATTAACAGGGGTAGACATCATTTTTTTTACTTATATTCTTTCTAGCTTTGTGATTTCTTATATTTTCTTTTCCATTAGATTGTCTCGATCTCTTGACTTGGGCTGCAGATTTGGTGGATTAACTCGGGTTGAGTTGCCTCTTATTCCCCGAGTTATATGTTTGTCATGTTAACTCAAATTGACTCAAACTAATCTTTTTATTTTTTTATCTAATTTTATATTTTCATATTTAATGAGTTGAGAATTGAACTACATTATTTGTCTTTTTTTACAAAAATATTTTTTCTCAAGTTATCTTTTTTTTTTTAATTTAATCCATTTATTATTATTTTTTATTTTTTATTATCTAATTAAAATAAAATCAATTTATTTGACTCATTCTATTTAATAACAAGTTACTTTTTTTTTTGAAAAAATATATTAGCATCCGTAAATATCATTTTTAACTTTAAAAAAAAAAAGGCATCCGCATTTTAGCGAAGGTACACTGCTAGTTGATAGGCTAATTGGAAGGAGAAAAGGTGATCAAACCGTGCTCAATTAAGGTACATCTTCTGGGTTCCCCAAGTTGCCACCAAATAAATAATTAGTATTCGTAACAAAGTTGATCTTTTTTCAGCCTATTTGACTTTTATGAGCTCAGCTAATTAAAGAAGAAATTGTGTATCTTTAAGTGGACGTGCACACGAATTGAGCTGTGGTGCGTAGTTTTTAAAACAATTCTTTACTTAGAAAGTTTATTAAAATATTTATTTAATTTTTTTAATGCTAGTATATTAAAATTATAAAAAAACTAAAAAATATATTAATTTAATATTTTTTAAAGTAAATATATTTTTAAAAAAACACTCAAAAGCCAAAACTACCGCCCTTCCAGACGGTGGACAACCTTTTCAGTTCGACAATTACTCTTTTACCACTTAATCAAACTTCTATTTCAGGTAAAGCTAACTGTGTCCCCCTTTTTTTGATACTTGTACTCCACAATCCAACAAAGCTACATCGTTTGAATGTTGACTATCCATGTCAATTACCACCAACCGTGGAGCAAAACAGGATGCTGCCTCGTTTGTTTAAAAAACTAATTTTAAAACTAATATCCATGTCATTTATTGTGTGCCCGCCATTGTAGTTTGAGAGGTGGTTTCATATGGCTTTTGGCATAAAATATTCCATTAAAAAAAAAAAAACTGAATGTACATTAAGCTTTGGGATTGAATAAAATTGGTGAAATATATTGATATTGAATAAAATTTTGAAAGATCTTGGATTTTTTTATTTTTTCAGTAATTATTTTAATTTCAATTTAAAAAAATCAAAGATCAAATCTTTTTTCTTTTTTTTAAAAAATTATGTTTATTATTTGGAATTGTTTAGTTATAAATGGACATATCAACCATTTATTGAGTTAATAATTTTGATGTACACTGTAAGGCCCATAATCTATGTTTTGTGGTCGGCCTACTAGTTGAGGCCTAAATTTTATATTATCTTTGCTAGCCCAATAGATATATAAAACCAAGAGGTGACAGTGCATTCTCAAAAATACCATCTCCCTCTTTTCTTTCTTCAAACGCCAGTATACTCTTCCTCTTTTCTTTCTGCAGAGTTTCTTCAAAGCTCTAACTTGTGATGATTGAATATATAAGCTATCTTTTTGAGTAAGTTTTTCTTAATCTCTTTCTAATTGATATATATTCTATCTTTTTGAGTAAGTTTTTCTTAATCTCTTTCTAATTGATTTATAGTATTGTTTACGAGTCCTTTTCTTTACAATAAACTTGTTGGAAAGGTTAGGGTTTGTGTAATGTTAATTGACATGTTAGTGATTTTATTTGATGTATGGAATGGTATATGTGTATGAATATGAATTGAAATAAAACAGGAATGAATTGATGTATATCTTTGTTTAATTGATGAATTTTGAGTAAGACTTTAAGTAACTTAATATTAGACAGAAAATAGTTAAATATAGGATAATTGAGTTGAAAAATCAGCCTTGAAACCTGGAAAAAATCTGTGTTGAGGTTGAAGATGACAGAACTTCAGTCTGGCCCCCAATTTGTGAGAAGTTTAATTGTAATTTGAGCCCTGGAACGTATTTTGAGATCCTAGATAGACTGACAGTGAGGTTAATAAAGATGAGTTTCAAGTTTCACTTTGGTCATAAATTTATGATATTTTCAGTTTGGTCCTTAAACTGTGGAAATTATGATTTTGCCCCTGGATTTTGGAAAATTACAGTTTAGTCCCTGTTCATGAATAAAAAAAAAATTAAGATAGGTTTTAATAAATGATTGATATTTATTGGTGATTTATTATCAAGTTTTATGGTTTCCTTTTTAATTGGGAATTGATTTTACTTTGTGATAAAATGTGTTTTGGTACTTTGGAAGCCTCGTATATACTACTCCTATGTGATTGGTGGATGTTTATGCCTATCCCAGTTTTTTATCGTTGTAATATGCTATGAATAAATACTACTGATACATGGCAATGGGATTAATGCTAATATATGTATAATCATGAATATGAATAATATTATATATGAATTAAATTGATTGGTTTGCTTATTTATTTTTTATTTGAATTGTGTGATATTGGAATATTAATCTGAAATGGATTGTAGAGTTATACAAGTTATAATACCTACGCTAACAACAGGGCAATGTTAATTCATGTGCACATAGAAAAATTTGATTACCCTAGCTAGTTGGAGTTGAAACCAGCCTGTGTGAAAGAGCATCACACATATATGTTATGATGCTCTACCTAGCAGGGGTTCTTTTGCTATTTCTTCTGCTTTCCTTTCTTATATTTGATTTTCTGACTTATAACACCCTAAAAGAGCAACATAAATTGAATTATATTTATAAGTGTTATTGGTCTGCTTATATACACCCTTATCATGTATAGACTTAACATATCAATCACATCATAACTTGGTCTTTTATTTGCATATTTGATATTATTTATTCATTGAACAGTGGGAAATTCATCATTATATTATTTCAATCTTTTCTAGTATACAATGAGTTGTTGTCAATGCTCTAAGTTGGTATGCCCAACACCTTTTTCGTGTGGACTTTTTTTATTTTTTTACTCCCACCTTGTAAATATGATATGTGATTTTGTGTATAGCTTAAGATTCATCATTACAATAGTTCATGGGCTATCCTTTTGAGTTGGTATGTATACAAGTACATATGTATATGATCTAGTAATCCAGAGTGATGGTTGATCTCTGTATATTGCTTTAATTTTTAGTTAATATAGAATTATGTTCAGACCTGGAGCTTAGTATAGACGAGGCGAAACCAAGAGTGTCTTGACCTGTGTGATGTTCAGGTGCTCAAATTTAGGTTGTGATATCCATAAAGATTGCATAAGACTAGTAGAAGAACTCAAATCAAAACAATTCAAGGATCATCGGAACTAATTCTAGGTAAAACTCACATGTTGACAAGAACTTTCGGTTCACGTATGGAGTTCACAATGTTGCAAAGTCGGTAGTTGACGAAGACCTTGAAAAGCAGTTTCAAAACATTAACATGCATATTGAGGAGGCATGGTAAAACTCGTCCTTTTCCACCATTCCATGCCGAAAAGGTTTGTTTTTTCGTATTTATTGTGATCTAAAACCCGAAAATAACGGGGTGGAGTCATATAAATTTATCCTGGTACCGTTAAAGTTGAAATATAGGCATTCCTTTTTTAATAACGCAACTCATCAAACCCATTTCGATTTTGAAATGAAAACAAAAAAACGATTAAATTTATCCTTGTTAATTCTGTATTTAATCTTCTTGTTTTGCCCTAGGATCACTTTTAACACGATAAAAGGCAGATGAAGCTGGGCCAAATTTCTTTTGCAAAATCGTTGCCAAGTTTAATCTGGATTTGTTCCTCCTACTGGGGGGTTAGGTTAGTTTCACCTTAGACAATTTATATTTTTAGCCCTAAAAATAAAAAATTCTGAATTTTGCCCCCCTTAAAAAAAAAATTGCCACCCCTAAAAAAAACGCTATTCCTATCTTCGCCCAGCATGCAGTTATTAAGAACTCTTACTAGTGATGCAACCAGGGGAAAAGATAAACCCAAAGACATTGGCAGCAAGGAGCACATTGTGCATGAAAATATGCTTAGGTTCAAATCTACGCTAAGAGATCAAGCAGGAAGGCAATGTCGAGAGAATTTCCATAACAAAGAATATTACGGTATTTGTTTTTGCACGCGTAAAAAAAAGAAAACAATACACAGAGCAATGAGAATGACTTTGTATCTCACGCTCGTATTCTCAGTTTTCACACAATGAGCGGCGGTCATTGCCAAATAATTGGGGGAACAGAATTACGAAAAAAAATTGAAGATTATGAAAAAATGCCTCTCCTTACAACTACCTCGTCAGTGCTGTTGTAGCCTTCGAAGATGTTCCAACATCGATGTAGCCTTTCGTTTAGCCCTCTCCGTGCCACCTTTAGCGAGCTCTGTCAAAGGTATGACAGCACCCAGTCTACTTACACATGCAAGATTCTCGGAATCTCTCTTGCACAAGGAGAGCAAAATGGCTGCTGCACTCTCTTTGTTGCGCGGCCCTCCCGTTCTCAACAAATCTATCAGAACAGGTAGGGTGCTGGCTTTTACTATAGCAACCTTTGCTTCTTGGTTGCTAGCTAGAACTGAAAGAATGGTCAGAGCCTCATCAATCATACGGTTTCTGGAGTCTGTAAGCATGTTTAATAAGGCTGTAATGATCCCTGCCCTGACGGCCCTTCCCTTGTTCCCCTGATAAATGCAAAGATTGAACAAGGCCGTTGCAGCATCTTTCTTTCCTCTTGTGCTTCCATTTTCGAGCAATTCTACCAAAGCTGGTATTGCTCCTGATGCACCAATTATTATTTTGTTCTCATCTGCAAGTGACAAGCTGAAAAGGGTTGCCGCAGCATTCTCTCTTGCTTCCACACTCCCAGTTCTGAGAACTTGGACGATTGAAGGAACCGCACCAGCAAGCATTATCAGTCCCTTGTTATCTTCATATATAGAAAGGTTAAGGATGGAAGTAACAGTGTTTTCTTGTATTGATGTATCTTCAGATATTAAAAGACTGACAAGAACAGGAATAGCTCCTGCTCCTGCTAATAGTATCCTGTTATCTGTGCTTCTTTTAGACAATGATCGGATTTCAGAGACAGCAGCTCTACGCTCCTCAATGGACCGGCTTGAGAGCCTGCGGACAGTTGCCTGGATGGCTGCCATGTCCCCACTAACGTCACGGAAAGATCCATCACTCTTTTTTATCCTTCCATTTGCTAACCCTGTTGGTTGCTCAACCTTGTGCTCTGTACACCACTGAGTTATTAGACTTCTTAGGACATAATTTGGGGTCAGTGTCAAATGTTCAAGCTTCTGCTGAGTTTTTGGACATGTTGAGTTGTCAGTATCTATCCATCTCTGTATGTAAGACCTTTCATATGTCTGAAGAATTATAAGAGATAAAATCAGAAGGCAGGGATAATGAAGGTAGATTAGTTGATGTTTTCATGCAATATTTGTTGAAGAAAGATAAAAGTGTTGGTATTTGACATTGCTAACTATACCTGTCCTGTAGCTACAATAACAGGATCCCTCATTAGTTCCAATGATATGGGGCACAGAAAATCATGAGGGATTTTAAGTGTGTCGGGCTTCTTTAAGTCTTTAGTGCTCTTGTTAGGCAAAGAATATTTCTTGGCCAAATCAACAGCATTCGATTCACTGGCCACCAGATCTGCAGTGCGGTCTGTTGAGCCATTGCTTCCTGAAACAGAAGTCTCAATGTTTTCTGCAACTTTATGATTGACACTGCCACTATTCTCAACATGACAACTTCTCGTTAACCTGGTGCCCTTTTGTGCCTGATCGACATCTTTGTCAATCTGCTGGGAAAAGGGAAGAGACACCTCCCTTGAATTCACAGACCCATACCTTTCCGTGGCTCTTCGCAACTGAGCTCTCACCAATGCAACCTGGTAGAGCAACAATCCATAAAGTCAAGCTCAGACAATAGTGTAAAAATGAGAAAAGTGCAGATTTCTCAATCCATACCTGCTCCTGCACTTCCTCTGATATGTCAAATTGATCGTATGGTACATTAGCCAAAGAATTCTCCAGTTTCCATGTCACGCCATGAAAAAGGGTGACAATGTTCTTGCCAGTTCCATCCTTAATTAGATCAAGGTATAGAAATCTTCAGAAGAGATACCTCACCACATTTGCAAGAGAATGTGCATGAACACGACGATATTTTGGCAAAAAAAAAAAAAAAAGGTTTTCCAAGACCAAAATCTAGCGCGAGGGACAAAGCATTTCTTTCTAAAGATTGCATCAACTGCTGAAATTCTAGTTTTCATCATGACATAGAATTAGCACATACAACAACCTCCAATGCTCCTTCTTCTTCTTCATCAGAGTAAACAACACAAAATTTAGTGCTAGAATCATTACATAATAGGAAAATTCTGTGATCAAATTCATAAATATACCTAAAAAATATTTGATGCTTGTTGTTAAACTTTTTAATCGCCCGGATAATTGACTTCAAACATTATTTAATTCAAGCACTTGTCAATTTAAAAGACAATAATCAATAGATCAACCAAGTGGGAGGCATAAAATGAAAATGCCCAGCAAACATTCTAGGCCATCCCATCTCATTTCTTTCAAGCTCCCATTAATAATAATAAAAATAATAAAAATGCAGCAACAATTAAAAGGAAAAAAACGAAAGAAACGGGAAGAAAACATACAGAATTATTAGTGGATTGAAAAGACCCGGCAAGCGATAGGAGATTGTGAGCAGACTGGAGAGCAGCGACCAGATCAGACCACCAATTCATTTCCTTTGACGAAGAGGAAGAAGAACCCAATGCATCCAGTTTCCCTAGTTGTCCATTTATCTCTTCGAGAAAATGTGTCAACAGTGAGACCCTGCGCACCAGATCCATGCAATCCTTTCTAAAAACGCTGTCCTTTTTATTCTTGTCGCCGGCAACGGATATCCCCACAGAGCAAATCTGACGGACAAGGTCGAGAAGGAATGCCGCCGTGACCAGGTTGTCCTCTCCGCCGGCCATATTTTGCAGGGAGAGCTTTCCAGTAGGCAGTTAATGAGTTGGTTCTAGTAAGGTGGAGAAGAGGGGGTTAGGTTAGGTTAGATTAGATTAGATTAGATTAGATTAGATAAAAAATATAAGGGTGAGATGTCCAAGGCTGAAGAGAAAAAACAGAAGAGGGAAGGTTGTTTTTTGTTGCATTGGATTTCATTACCACCAGCCACAAGCCACAAGGACAAGAGCATAACATGGTTATAGTTTGGTTTGGTTTAGTTTAGAGAGAGAAAGCTTCGCGGGCGAAGCTGTGTTGCCGTTATGAGAGAGAGAGAGAAAGAGAGGGAGATGGTTGCGAGAGAAAAGAGAGGGTGGGCATGTGTATACAATACAGTTGGATATGGAATATTGTGAAGTGGCTTTCGATTAAAAAAAACAAGCAACGACACGTAGGAGGAGGCTGCTATTGCTATTTGCAATACAGGTGGCGCTTTTGTGATTTTATCACTCTGGGTGTTCGTTTGTGCGAACGAATGGATGTGGTGGTGTTTGTTCCTTGTTTTATTTTATCATTTAGGGAATATAAATACTTTTTATACTCAAAATCAAATCAAAGAATAAACAAACCAGAATATATATCTGGACTTGATCTGACACAATTATTTCCCATTTAGGCTTTGTTATAAGTTCTCTTAAAAAAAATACATTGCTGATAACTACACAGAGAAAACAATTGTTCATCGATCTTTGAAGAATTTAGATCTTTTTTTTTTAACCAAAAGGCTCTTGGAGAGCAATTAATTTGATTAATCAAGCAACAATGTCTTCGAAACAACCTAATTCAATCTCAAGGGGACAGCCCTAAAGTAAAGTGTAAGATGTCCATCGGTGGGGTTGTACAAAAGATTAACCAAATGATAATTAGCTTAACTGGAAATGTCTCTGATCTCCATCACTTATAATCTTGAGAATGGAGGATGCCTCTATTCTTGGCACAACAATGGCATGCAGCCATGTGTGGTCGTGCCATTCCGAGGTCAATAGAGTTTTTAGATAAAATTATAAATAAAATATTTTAAAATATTTTTTTTTATTTTATATTTTATGCGTGACAAGTAGAGCCTTGAACAATATTATTAAACAAGGCCAAACTTTATTTTATAAAATATAATTAATAAATATATTTTATTTATTTTTGAGTCTTAATAATTAAATGAGAACCTTGAACCATTGTTCAAGTTACTCATATGCTCTAATCAGAAAAATAAAAATACTATTTTCATTGCTGGTGAATTGGATTAGGAACTGAGAAGGTTAAAAAAAATCAAAATCAAAATAATATTACTTAAAAAATAATAAATTTCTAACTATATAATTCATTTTTTTCTCAATCCACGCCCCGTTTAAATTCCAAATTAACCAAAATGACGGAAAAGATTTGCCTTTTTCAAGGAAGCCGAATTATAATTTGTTTTTTATCCAGTCCGCCGGAGAAACATGTGTATAGCTGGCCAGCACCCAGTAAGTAAACTCTTTTCCTAATTTTCTTGATCATATACTAATATCCACGTGAAAAATAAGTCAAGTCAAGAGTAGCGGACAAGGTCGAGAGAGAGAGAGAGAGATTAATCATGCTATCCCCCTTCCTAGAAAACTGTCTTCCAACGGATTATGTCCTAAAATTCGGGCCAATCACATACTTTTTCTTGTCGCAAACGACACTTTATTTATCCCACTTGACAGTGATTTTTTAAAAAATATTTTTTATTTATAGTATGTTAAAATAATATTAAAAAAAGAATTTACATTTGAAATCAAAATAATATAAAAATATCAGATATTAATTTAACATAAAAAATAAAAAAAATTCAATTTTATTTCAAAATCATTTTCAAAACACAAAAACAGAGAACCTCTAAGTAGAAAAATTTACAAAAGAAAAAATGTTGTATAAATACAAAAAAAGAAAATCACCAGACAAAGAATCATACAAAAAAACTTACAAACCTTATATGCTGAATGATAGGTGGATAAGTGTAGGTCCTAAAATATAATAAATTGTTGATTAAATATGGAAAATGCAATTTCCAGATTAATATGCTTGAAAATTTTGTACTATATATGAAATTTCAAATATTTAAAACTATATTGAAACAGGAATGGTATATTTAAAACTAAAAACAGGTCATGCCAAATTAGAAGTTTCAATTTTATAGGATTTTAATTTTCTTGTCCCTCGACAAGATTAATCTCGTATGGGATACTAGTTCAAGCTGTCAGAGCCAGAGGTGGATCGAAGTGTCTAGAAGCATAATTCTAACCCTCTTTCTCACTCTGAGCTGTTAATTCCGACTTTGAGATTACATCCTCGAAATGCTATGTCTATCGAAGATGCAACACAACTTAGCACATCCAAATAATTTCTACCTTCGTGTTATGATCTGCATTATGGATGTGTTGCTTGTGGACTATGTAATGATATATGTTTGGTTTTATTTTTTTAACCCAGCTTAAGATTAGACTACTTAAAAAAAAAAGTAATTATTAGTAGGTGGATAAGTTGGTAAAGTAGATAAAAATCAAAGGATATATTTTTTTATGTGATTTCCAATTCAACTCTTTTTGCCCATTAATATTAATAAGCACAAATCACACGATGTAAATCTTGTTTTGCAAATCTTGCTCGAGATGTATAAAGTTAAGCATTTAACGTAATTTTAAGATATAAAAATATTGAAAATTTATCCATGAAGAAGATAAAAACTGAGATGTTTGTTGTGAAATATACCATGGATATTAAATCTAATAAATAAATGAAGCATCGAGTTCAAGATTATTTATCACTTACAAATTTATTTATTTATTTGTTAAAAAAGTAATAGGAGTGGCAATAGCAACAATAGAATTGCCAATAGCAGCAGCAGCCCTCCTCTCCTTTTCCTCACAAGATCCCCGACTATAAAAAATGTCAAACAAAGACACGGAGTCACGTCTTGCCTCTGTGGGGCTGTGTTATAATTAATCATACAAAAGCCCCTCGATCCCTTCCTGTAAGACTGTGGGGTCCACTAAGAAAACAGAAGGCGGAGGTTTAAGCGTTTGGTGATATACTGGAATCGATACAGCAAGTTTAATTGCTAATTTTCTTGTCGGTATTATGTTGTTGAACCTTTCTAATTATTTCAAGGATGTCTCTCATTGAAGTCTTGACGTGCTTCCAACAACTTGATGTCTGTTTCGTATGGTGGATGGCCATTGGCTGTATATCCTCGTAAAATGGTTTCTTTCGGTGGACATCCACGTATTTTCAACACCAAATCATCTTCACCCGTGTAGTCTAGCTATCTTGTCTTGCTCTATTTGCTAGACCAGACGTTTCCCTTTGTCTTTGTTATCGTTTTCTTCTCGAGAAGAATCATTTTTACTAGTGTTTGCTAGTTTATGCAGCGGCGCCGAGAGTAATATCTGGCGTCAATTGGAATGTATCGATCCCCTTTCACACCCGGAGTAAAAGGGTCAGGGGGTAGAGGATGTTAAGAGCTTATAACAAAGCATAACTCGAGATTTAACAAGTAATCCATAACACAGCTCTTTCAATTTATTTTAAGAAAAAACAATGGAATGCTCTGGTTTACCGACCTGCCTGTGTTCACGGAAATCCTTCGATTAGAACAGCCCTTCTGTTAAAACATTTATTCAATGGAACCTCCTCCCTACCCCCTCGACACCTGCATCGAAGTTGATCCAACAGTGGGTTAGAATAAGAAGACAACACATTTCTTTTTTTTTTTTCTTTTTTAATCAGTTCTTGTATATTTCTACCTCATTTTCTTCAGAATTCAGTAGGAAATAGTGCATTCTTGACGGGCACCCAAAATTTCGGCCGAGTTAAGATCAGGACCAAGCAGTGGATGTCTCCTGCCTCACCAAAATCTCAATTTCAATTTACCATTGAAGTGAACTTTTATATCATTGATGTTGTAGCCGATACATCCTATAAATATTTGAGCAACTGTTGCTGTATTTTCAATCCAAGTAAGAGCGCTTTTGGCCTGATGGTGATGAGAACTGAAATGAAATGAGAATCTCCACGGAAGCTTTGGGCTTTAGACAAGAGCACAACAATGGCTGGGTGAGGAATCTTTTAACTGTTATACGTTGGGTCTAAATCATTTCAACAACAACGAAATGACTTTATTGCATTTAAATGGAGATAGGATATATTCCTAGGATTGTTTTGGCTAGAACAAGATTATATTAAGATTGTGATTGATCGCCCACCAGTAATTAGGAATAAGATATATATTTCTTATAAATATATGCTTGGACTCGAATCTTTTTAGCATGATCTTGAATGTTTTTGCGAGAGACTGTATTATGAAAATTGGATGTATCTGAGATCTGAAAGTTTCTTAAAACTTATACTAGTTATAGTTATAGTATAATTCATCCTCTTCTATTATGAACGTAAGCATAACCGAATCACGAAAAATCACCTTGTTATGTATTTTTTTTTAGTCTATGTATGCATTTAATTATGTGTGTGATCCTTGGCTCCCTATGTTTTTAAATTCATCCATAACCTAATCATTGTCATCCGTTTCATATTATTATTTTTAGATTTATTATTATTTTAAAAACTAGAAAAATGTAAAAAAAAAAAACAGAACAGAGAGGGAGAAGAAGATGGGATGGAAAGATTAAAAACAGAACAGGGAGGGAGAAGAAGATGGGATGGAAAGATTGGCTAGAAAATAAGACAATTTATGGAACAAAATACTACTAAATCAAATATTCTGGAAACATTTGTATTCTATTTAGTCATGCTAGAAAGAATAGATTAAGATACATTTATATTCTATTTAGTTTGATTCTTAGGATGATAAAAAGATGTTTTGAGGTTGAGAATATGATTATTGAGTTTTTTTAATGCTCTGGAAACATTTTTAGGTTGAAAATTATATTTTAAAAATCTAAAAACTACGGCCCACTTTCCTAGTGGGTGGCAAGTTGTTTACACCTATGGATGAGTTGCTGTCCATCCTCTTAAAAAAACAAAAAACCAAGCAAGCAAGCCTAACTTTTTAGGCCCACACGCCCCCAGG